GTGTTTAAGTAATGGACATAATGTTCACATTTGCTAGACCAGCCTTCTCCCTAATCATGAATTATTCTTCCCCAAGGCTCAATTGGAACATTACTTTAGAAGCAGAAGATTTAATCCTTTTCAGCTGATTGGAGGGAATGATTACAGTATTATTTTCTTGTACAGGCTGTCTCCAGTGAAGGTGCCTTTTTCTGTCCCCATCTTTAATAGGCAGCAATCTTTATTTCCCTGGAGGGAAATGGCAATGAATTCGAAATAGGATAAATCTTCAGGAATGCAAGGTGCTGAAGCTGTAGATCACTGCTGGTTAGTTAATTAGTTTAGCCCTCACTTGTTTCATCTCCAAGATAGAATACCTTGTAACAAGGGGAAACAGCGGGTAGGTGGGTGGGTGGGAAGGTGGGTGGAGCAGGACAGTGGAGGAACCAGCTGTAGGCAGATAAATCATGGAAGCCTTAAAGCCACGGCGCCCCCCCAGAGCCCCACTTACTGCAATCAGTAAAAGAAGCTTTACTTGTTTTGCTCCAACCATTCTGACTTTTAAGAGCAATTTGAGTTACCAAAAGGGCTTGCATCTTTCTCTTACAGAAATAGTCGATGCAGAGTAAGGCAGAACCCTATAAAAAATGAGACTGAAGGAGACGAGAGTTGTCACCCTTAAGGATATTTATACACAGAGCTAGCCCCATAGTAAGTCCTGGGAGAGGAAAAAAAAAATGTGCATTCCCAATGTGTGCTCTTTAAGCACCACTGCACAGAGAAGAAATAAGTAACAATTGACTCCCTTGGTTTTTGGTTTTGGTTTTTAATTTTTATGATTAATGTTTCCAGGAAAGGGAGGGGTGTTGGGGGGAGTGTAGCTTAGCAATTAATTACCTTAGATTGGAAGATCTGAGTCTGACTTACCCTTTTTCCCTACTCCCTGCCATGTGGAAAGGCCAACTGCAATTCCCCTGCTGTTTGGTTTTACGGGGAAACCCCAGAACATTCCCTGTACCACCTCTTTTCTGTTTCTGATATATATCAATGAGAGGAAGAAATCAAACCTAAAGAGATCTACTGAATTAGAAGGAAGTCCTTGACGACTGACATGTCTTACATCTGATTTAAAGCCGAAGCTCCCACAGCTAGCTGTCTATGATCTACTTAGAATGAAACAAGGCCGTGCTGCCTTGGCCCTGATTATAAATATATTACGTTTAAGTGATGAATACCACGCTCAGAAGGAGCAGGAGATTGAGAGTGCCTGAGGCTGGCACTTTCCAATCTCTCCTCCGTGCCAAGTCAGACTTAAAATAAACATGCTTTTGTATGAATGCTACAAGAACCATGTACAGAGGTACGGGAGTGATTTTGCTTCTAAGGCAGAATATAATGAGAGAAGAGGCTGGTTAGAGCTCCTTGGAGGATGGAAAGAAAGCTTTTGCTGGCTTTACCCAGGGCTCCCGCTGTCCACCCTGGTTTATTACTCTAAGCTACCAAGAAAGGTAAAAAAGGTCTAATTTGTTCATAGCAAAGACAAAGATGGCATGATATACCTCTTTTTTGTAGACTGTATTCATTCTAGTTCATTCTGCTACAACTAACAGAAAATAGTTGATCCTGGGTACTTTAGGAAAATAGAAGTTTATTTAACTCACGGTTTGAAAGTCCTAGGTCCAGGGGCCACCTCTGGTGGTGGTCTTCCGGCTGCTTTACAACATGCAGCGGGCAAGAGCGCGTGGTAATGCGTGTCTCCTGGGCTCATTCCCGCTCCTTAAATACCCACCAGAATCTAATCCTAGGGCCTCATCCTAATCGCTGAGTCACTCCCAAAGGCCTTACCTTTCACACCATAATGGCAGTAGGTTTCCTCTTAATATATTCGTACCCAAATCTCAACACATAAATCTGAAGGACATAAACCATAGCAATGTTCAATACTTGAATTCTCAGATCTTCTCTGAATGGCAACTCCAACTCTCTGCTACCTCCATAGCTCCTAGAATACTAGGACTGGCCTCAGAAAAATCACTTATGGCAGCCTTCTTATTTCACAGGGATACAATGGTGTTTTAAAGATACACAGCTGACAAACAACCCATCTGAGACTGAGACCACCAATGCCGGAGCCTATGTTTTATGTGGGACTAGCCGCCGGCTCTAATGTCTTCTAGCCAAAGACACCCCTGGATTCTGCTTCCAGAAACTTCAAACTTCTCTACAATCAAAAGGACTGAGCCATGATAGAGAGCCACCAGCAGTTTCTCTTTTTCCACTTGCATCCCTTTCAGTTAGTCAATCAAATATTTATCAAATACTTATTTTCCTCTTTTGACAGCTGAATTCCAACCAGAATTATTCTTCCCGTCCCAGATCATTTTAATGATCTGACCCACTGTTGGTTTTTTGTTTTGTTTATTTATTTTACCTCCATCAACTTCTGGCTCAAAATATTTTCCCCCAAACCAACATGTATTTATAATACCATATGTTTCTATGCTGCCGTGGCAGGAAATAGGAGCATTATCATATACTGCATAATAATGGAAGGAGCTCATGCTGACAGCTTTGGGCTTCTCTTTCCTCTCTGAAGAGAACAGAGGTCAGGGAAACGGCCAACACTGAAGAAAGGAAGAGATGGAGAAAGCGTGGGTGTGAGCATGTTGAAGAGGAATGAAGGAGGGGCTCAGGAGACTGTGGGACTCAGTCCTAGAGCCAGTCATGGCCAAGGTGACTTGTCTAGCCACAGTTGTGCCACTCAATCCCCTCAGGGCCTTGGGGTTTTTTTGTTTTTGTTTTTAATTGGAAGAAATGAAAGGGTAGACTCAGGTCTCTGCCTGCTCTATATCTCTATGGTCCTGTTGGCTCCCAAAACATTAATTGGATTTTACATCATTTGGTTTCATTTCCGGACATTTACAATTCTCTGAGTAACGGGTAACATTCACAGCCCAATTACTTTGCCAAGCTCATCGAAATTTAATTTGCTGCATGCAGTGACACAGAGCCTGAGTTTGACTAGGAAGTCAGAAAAGCCACACCAGTGATTTACGCGAGGCTCCCTGCCTACAAAATTTACCATCGGGATGTCTAATGAATTTTTTTTTTTTTTCATGTAAACATATAGCTTTCACATCTAACTGGAGTCGCAGCGGATGAGCTACCAGGGACAGAGTGTGCTAGACATCATGCTCCTTTCCTCATAATGAGCTCAGAAAACTGCTGCAAAATGAAGGGTCTTGGAGTTATTCTAATGCTTCATAAATGAGAACACTATCTCTTTCAGGACTTCACAATGCTATTTGTATGTATTAAAAAAAAAAAAAAATCCTGACCCTGGGAGGCTGCATTTATTTCTACAGCAATTTTAAGAATACCATGGCCCCCACATTTACATTTAAATACTGATACCTATGCATGCTTCACTCTCAATTTATTGAAAGATTTTTGACAAGGAGGGCGTTTTGACATAAAAATAAGCTGATCTTATGTTGCAGAAAATATGATTAGAATTTGGAAGTCACCATCACTCAATGACTGGCCCAAGGCATTCTCTTCTCTGTCACAGAGCTTTAAATCATACTCCCTATACCTGCACTGTCCGGTGTGGTAGCTACTGGCCACACCTGATGACAGAACACCTGAAATGAAGACAGTCCAATCAGTGACATGCCAGCAGTGTAAACACACACAGGCTTCGTGGCTCCCTTTGTATTTCTACTGGGCAGCTGTAACTGTCCAGTATCTCTGCATTGTGTCATACACAGACTACAAAGTTCAGTTAGTCTGCCGTTCCTGAGGGTTTGCGATGTGCCACAATCTGCGCTTGATGGAAGGAATTAGAAAATGAGCACAGTTCTCACTTTTAAGGGTCATATACTTTAGAAGAAGAAATAGCCATGTCAAGAAATCATTCAAACCTACATGGTACTTGATGTTTCCTAATCAGGGCCCTAATTTATGCAGCAGACGTGCCAAGGCTACACCGTCTCCTCTGCAGGTCTAGCACCCTCTGACTAAACAGCAGACAAGATTTTTATGTCCTGGGGTGGATCCAGATTTTGTGAGGCCTGAAATGTACAAAAGCCCTTAATAAAAAAGGATTTAAAATGACCAAACTAGATAAGTAATGTAATTAAAGTGTGAAACACTAAAGTTGAACTATGGTAGGAATAACTGATCTTCTGGGTGAGTCACAGCTATTTCCAAATGATCCTTACATGTGTCGTGCAAGACAAGCAGAAATTTGGTTAGACAGTTAGCTTTCTTGGGACCAGCAGTTAGCGTAATGGCTATGTCACTGAACTCCCATGTAGTCGGCCACAGTTCGAGTCCTGGACCCGGTGGCTTAAACTCACGCTAGGCACGTATGCGTGCGTGGCCAAGATCTTGAGAAGAGAAAGAATGATTGTTGTGTGACCATCCCCCCTGGGGGTGATTTCTCACTTTCTGTCTCTCCGTCTCTGTCTTTCTGGCGAGCACACGCCCCCTATAGCAAAAACCTCTCCAAAACAAAAAAAGAAAGAAAGTTAGCTTTTCTCTGAAAGAGGAAAGCACTTAAAAGTACAAAGTTGCTTTGACAAGAATGTAGAAGGAACCAATAATGATTAGAAAGGAAGCTAAAAAAAAGACAGGGACAGGACAGACAAGTGGAGGCTTGTATGCCAAGCAATAGAAAAGATGACTTCATCCTGAGGTGTAGAAATTCATCTTAGTGTCTAATGGGCCTTTTCTGTCCCTGAGCCCTCCGTAATATATATATATATATATGGAAGAACTCATATGCCAATTCTGCTGATTAGCCTATTCATTTCCACACAAACTTCTAGCTCCACATACCCAAAGGTTCTCTGACAAAAGTAACCAAACACATAACTACAGTGATAGTCATAGGAAAAAACATGGGACTTCACAAATTCCATTCAAATTCCTTACTTTGTCTTATTCTTAACATGAATTCACTGTAGACAGAACAATAAATGCCCTTGACTCCCCCAGAGCCAGGAAGCACATTGGGAATGGGGATTGGATTACATTCACCCTCAGACACCCTGACTGCACGTTCATCTCCTGACCAAGAAGATGAAGCTCCTTTCAACACAGGAGTGTTCTGGAGCAGATGTGGTAGTGGTGATTGCAGTGCTAAAACCCAGCTTTCAGAGCATTGAGTCTACCTTCATTGAAGCCAAGAGCTAGCTCACGAATATTTTCAAGAAGTGTGAGGTCCATGCTTAGCAACTGTGGCCATACATTCACCTAATTGCAATCCTTCAAGTGTCATGGGCTGAACTGTGTACCCCAAAGTTCATATACTCAAGCTATAATCTCCAGTATCACTGTATTTGGAAATAGAGCCTTAAAAGGGGTAATGAGGATTGATCAGGGCATGAGGGTAGGGCCTAATCTAACAGGAGCAGTGTCCGATAAGAAAGCAGAGACACCAGGATACACATGCACAGGGTAAGACCATGTGAGGACACAGGGGTAGGGCCACATGAGCACACACTGAGAAGGCTGCATCCGTAAGTCAAGGCAAGAGGCCTCAGGAGGAGCCAAACCTCCCAGCACCTTGATCTTGAACTTCTACTCTCCAGAAAAGTGAGAAAATAATTTCTGTCATTTGAGCTATGCAGGTTGCAGTATTTTGTTATGGCAGCTCCAGCATTCTAATCTCAGGTATATGAACCCAAGGAATACAATGGAATTGAACTCAGCCTCTTTCCCAGACTTAGAAGAGAAATTCAGCTTCTTTTTTCTCTAAAGGACTTGAAATTTGACGAGAAGATGGTAAAAGGATTTCTGAGAGTTTTCTACCTGCCAGGAACTATTCTAAATGCTTTGTCTATTGATTCATTTGACCCTCAAGAACCTGAAATTAGATATTATCACCCCCCAGTGGTAGATGACAAGAGATACTCAAATGGCCAGTGGTAGTGTGAGGTGCAGAAACATAAAACCACTGATCCTAGGGATCCAGAAAGCACAAGATGGAAAGCCAAAGGAAAGGAAAGTTCACTTCTGTATTGTTGCCACCTTCTTAGCTTTGGCTATTCATGGTAGACAGCTCTGTCACAGTGGTGGGTGTAACTTGATTTTCATTAAAAGGGGACTTAAAACGTTCATGGAAAAAGAAAACTAAAGAGTTTATTTTGGTTCAAAAAAGTCTCTGAAATTCATCATATGAACTTCTTTATAATTGGTATTTTCCATGAACTTTTTGAAACCCCCCCCTTCATATTTGTATCATGTGAATATACCCCTAATACAATGGGAGTAAAATATTTGCACCCTAGAAGCACCTAACCCAGGGGAAAAACAAGAAATTTTTCAGCTCAAACCCAGTGTAATCCAACTTTCACACATAAGACCTCCAATCCCACTATTTCATTGGACTTTTTGCATCCTTCGCTCCCTAACTCTCATTTGTGCTGTGTGTTGTTTGAGACTTGAAGGTGAACTCTCAGTGGTAATCACCCCCAAGAAGGTGCAAACATCAGAAATTTTTCAGCTCAAACCCAGTGTAATCCAACTTTCACACATAAGACCTCCAATCCCACTATTTCATTGGACTTTTTGCATCCTTCGCTCCCTAACTCTCATTTGTGCTGTGTGTTGTTTGAGACTTGAAGGTGAATTCTTTCAGTGGTAATCACCCCCAAGAAGGTTCAAACATCACAGAAAGTTCACGATTCAGTTTTTATGTTATTGTCGATTGTTTTTACACACCATGTTACTTTCAAAATATTAATAAATGCCACATGACTCAACTAGTTTATTTTTACTAATGTATTAGCAGGCAGTTCCAATTGACTGATGGCTGAGCAACAGAAAGTTTATCCTTTTCTTACACATAAACCCAAATGTTAGATTCTGAATTTTTATAACTCTAGGAATTCTAAATAAATACCATTTTAATAAATTCAGGCTACCATAACACAATACCATAAACTGAGTGGATTAAACAACAAACATTTATTTCCCATTTAAGAGGCTGGAAAGTCCAAGATCAAGGTGCTTAGAAATCCAGTGTCTGGCGAGGACTCTCCTTCTGGTTGGCAGACGGCCACATTCCTACTGTGCCCTCACCTTTCTGTTTCTATATGGGCACTAATCCTATCATGAGGGCACCATTCTTATGATCTAAGCACATCAGAAGCCCCACCTCCTAGTACCACCTTGGGAATTAGTACTTGTACATATACATTTTGGTGGAGACACAAATATTCAGACTATGGTAGATACCTTCAAGGATCAAATGTGAAAGAAAATCTCAACACTCTAAAAGCAAAAGCCATACACATATGCCATGCTTGGATTAGAACCTTGTATTGTCATACACACTTGAACCGTAGGCTTTAGATCCACGTTATGTAGTTAAATGAACTTGGTTTTGTTTTAGATTGGCTAGATAAGCTTCCTTTTATTCTCAACATAATCATACTCTTGCTTCTGGAAATGCCAACAAAATCAGAGACAGTGAGGTTAAATATAGCGATCTTGATATGGGGGAAATGTGAACACACACAGAGAACAAACAAAATCACAACAAGAGGAAGAACACAATTCCGAGGAATTGTGAAGATTGGAGGGGTGTGTGGAGATCATTGAGAATTGCTCCCGAGAGCCAAAATGGCCAGCTGCCAAGAGGCCACCAAAGATAGTATCCAAACCCAGACAAGGCTCTTCAGTTTTAAAAGCTCAGAAATTGGATTCTGTGAATATCCTAGGCAGAGATGAGTTTCATGAAACAATAGAGCATCATTTCAATTCATAAGAGACTAATGTAACAGCCAGAATGTTGCTCAGTATATTCTTCCCTGTGGTGAAATTAACATGAGCAGCCAAATTCTGATCAGGAGGTTGTTTGGAAGGCCTAAAGTTGCTGGGGGAGAAGGTTAGACAATTCACATGTGTTTTGGCATCAGAAGACAGCCCAGACATCTGGGAGACTCTGGAGTCTCTCTCTTAACATAGCATGAGATTCATGTGAACCAAGTGCTCCCCCAGTTTTGTACGGCTTTCTCAACTGCAGCTTGAGGCATATTAATATAGCCGGACTATTTCATCGATTTCTGTTGTCAGGACTCAGAGGTGAGATCAGACTGTTGAAAACCTTCCCCTACCTGACAGCAATGATAGAGAATGAATGCTACACCACTAGAACCCACCCTCTTAGATAGAGGAAACTTTTCCTTTAGACTTGAACAAATGATTACCTATTTACAATTTGATTTACCGTATTGTTTACTTTTAAATCACTTTAATTCTACCACCTCATCTAAAGAATTGCTGGTCACCAATCACTCTCCCTAATAAATGGTAAAAGAATGAACAAATTAAACAGAAATATAGAATGCCTTAGCATTTTTACTGTAGGGGCCAGCAGGTAGCATGGTGGTTAAGTCACTGGACTCCTACATGGCCAAACGTGGTTTGATTCCTGGACCTGGTGGCTGGCGTTCTCACTTTCTGTGTGTGTGTGTGTGTGTGTGTGTGTGTGTGTGTGTGTGTGTCTGGTAAGCATGCATGCCCTGTAGCACATTTTAAAAATAATAGTAATGATAAATAAAATTAAATAAATCTAATTTTTTTTTTTTAACTATACAGAACTAAGGACTTAGGGCTGCCTGGTAATCTAGTGGTTTAATGTAGCTGGATCCCACAAGGTCAACTGCAGTTCTAGTCCTGGTCCCTTGCTAAGTGTATATGTGTGCACACCAAAAGTCCCAACAAGACATAGAAATGGAGAAGGGATTGCCTTGTGAGTTCACCCCATGGGGGCATGCTTTCTCCCTCTCTTTGTGTCTGTCTCTCCTTGGCAAGAACCCCTACTCTCTGGCATTTTTTTTTTAATTTTAGAATTAAAATGCAAAGAATTAAAGACTGAGCCCACTGCGGACCAATCTTATACTCTTCATTCAACATGACACACAGTAGGTATATCAAAGACCAAAAATGAAAAACACTTATGGAAGAAGGTAAACTTGAGAGTTATTATTTAATTTTGTACATGAATTTCTCCCTAGGATTCAAAAGTTCAAAGCATATCAAGCATTCAAACAACATATTTATATGTGAGAGTATTGTGTAAGGATGATGGAGTAGAGATTAAAGAGGTAGAATCAGAATCAGCCAGAGACATCTGGGCTCAAATTCAGGGCCCACTTACAAGCTATTACGTAGTTACATCTTTAAAATGGTAACATCAACATGTAGGGTGGTTTTCAGAATTAAGCAGGATGAGTTAATGTACTACCACTGGCCCGTGTAGATTCTCAAATAAATAGTTACAATCATCGTTGTTATCATTTTGGAGATACTTTTTATTTTTTGAGCTTTTCCTTTTGCTTCTACAAAGTCATCCCACATCTTCTCAGGCAAATGAAGCTTAACAAAATATTCTCCTGACCCTTATCATGTGTAACAAGAGTATACAAATTCTTGTTAAAGTCCGTTTACTTTTCTCTTCCTATATAAGAGAGACAAGACCCCAACAGGGTCTCAACACCACTGTCCACCCCAGTCTCCAGCCACCCCAAATCATGGGCCTGGTGTACTTAGGGAAGCCTCCAGACTTAAACCAGGAACCTTCCCATGTGAGGTTGCCCCACAGAGCATCATGTCTGTGCCATCGTCTGGCCCCAAGAGGATACACGTTCTCACCATTTCCTCCAGGACATTATGTTTACTTGCCTGGAAACAGGAGGAGGAGGAGGAGGGAGGAGAGGGAGGAGGGAGGAGGGAGGAGGAGGAGGAGGAGGGGGAAGAGAAGAGGGAGGAGGAGGGGAAAGAGAAGGAGGAGATTTAACCAGGTGAGCTCACTTTTCCATGAGGTAACTAGAGTCAAATCAGTCTTCACATTGACCTGGACATAGATGTCAAGGCTAAAATATCAAGACCTAAAGCTAAAGATTATCACACAGTTTACAGGTGGTTTGGCTTGACTTTTTTAATTCTGTTTCGATGGTGGTCTATTTTTTTCATGTATTTTTAGCACTCTATTTTAATCAAGGTCTTCATCACCCCAAACAAAAGAGAATCTCAGTGTGGCTATGACCCCAAACAGACTTCTCCTCACATCTTGTTACTGAAAGGTGTTGGGAGCACACGTTCAATACTAGTTTGCATTTACCAATGTGCTTTCTTTTTTAATCTGCCTCCCACTTTTTCTTTTTGATTCAATCTGCCCCTTACTGTAATAAATACACCAGTAGGTGTTTCAGAAAAAAATATGAATAATGAACTCTATAAGTAATAGACTGAATAATAAACTCTGAGTCTTTGTATATCTTCATTTGTCTAATTTTGCACTGTTTCTGACCAACATTTTAGCCGGGAATAGAACCTAATTTGTTTTCCCATAATACTATGAAAATATCATTTAGTTGATATCCAGCATCGACTTCTTTCGGTGAGAAGTCTGTCAGCAGTAAACACCTGAAAAGAATAACAAACTGGTTTCTTTTTTCTTCTCCTCCTCTTCCTTCTTTTTTATGGTAACCTTAAGATTTTATTACGTTCTGCTTAAATTTGAGGCCCAGGTTTTTGATTTTGAAAGAACTTTCTAGCCATAGTCTCTTCAAATATTAACCCTTTCCCATTTTCTCTGTTCTCATCTAGAACTCTTACTAAACAAATGTTGATGCTTTAATATTTTCCTCCTTCAGGCCTCTTAATTTCTCTTCCATTTTTCTATCTCTATATCTCATTGAGACAAATTCTAGGCAATAAAATCATTAGATTTTATTGTTCAAAAGAATGTTTTGGGGTGTGGTCTAATTACTGATTCACCTATTTGTTGACTTTTACTTTATTCTGAAACTAAGAATTATACAAAAACAAAACAAAACAAAACAACCTATGGTTTTAACCTAATTCCCTGAACACACCAAAGAGATGAAAAAGTAAATTCTTATGCAAATGTTCTTTTTGTGGTAGATGTTTCTGGAGAGGTTTCCGATTCATCTTCTGTAAAAATAGAATCTTGCCATTTCGGTTCTATCATAGTGACATATTGGACATCCTTGGTAAAATGAAGCCAGGAAATGTTTCTAATCTACAGGGAGACATATATTTTTCCAGCTAATTATCTGTCCTGTTTTAAAGCATGCTTATTTTTGAAGTGTCAAAATGTACTAATCCATACTGCAATTGTTTGGAAAACTTCATGAACAAGTGTATTTCAGCAAGAAAAGACATTTGATGCCAGCCAAATTCTCTTTTTTCTGTCACTATAAATGGCTTTCCTATTTTCAACAGTTTTTCAAAATCAAAGTCATATCTAAGCTGACAACTTCTTTGGCAAGTTTCAGCTAGATGTAATTTGAAACAGTCAAGGAAGCAAAGCCTAAACAATAAGGTTTTTAGTGGTAACGGTGACAGATCCTTAACTACTGTCACACTGTGTCTGACACTAAAAGACTTGAGAGGAAATTCGTTAAATAAATACTTGCAGTTAAAAAAATACACCTGCATTTAGTATGCATCCTCTGTCATGAAATTATGTAAGACCTGAGAACTCAGGGATGTTAAGCACTTAGCCAAAACATACCTGAAAGAAATCCCCTCAAAGGATTTCTTTCTTTAACCTTCAGAATATCCTTTAGCTATAGTTAGCAACCAAAGGCCATTAAAAAGTCAGAAGGTATAAAAAAGAATAGACGCTCCTCTCTTTCAGCCTCAGGTTAGTTCTATACAAAATAAGACTATTTGAGTTCCTTCTCTCTTTCTTTTTCTTTTTTTTTTCTTTTTTTCTTTTTTTTTATTTATTTTTTTTTTTTCAGATTTGTTCTGGGCACGTGAACTGGAGAGGGAGAGAGAGAGAAATCACGCCCCACCCCAGGAGGAATGACCATGCTGCAATACTTTCTCCACCATTCTCCTGTCAGAATTTTGGGCATCCACACACACACGTGCCCATGTGTTTTTCAAGCTACTGGGACTGAGACTCCAACCAACTGCAAACTTGGCCATGTGGGATATAGCTACTTTTTTCATGATGCCACCAGCTATCCCCAAGACTATTTAGGTTCTAAGGGAAAAGGAAGTTCTAACATGGCCTTAGAATTACTATTACTTACACACACATACATGAAACACACATTTTGCTTTTATTAGAATGAGAATTTGTTCTTTTTTTTATTTTACTATTAATTTTTTTAGAGAAGCCACAAGATGTTGTAATCTGCAAAAACTTTTCTCCTTATTCCAGAATTACATAACTGTGTTTACGCTAAATATGAACTCTAATTTCACTTTAGAACGTACCATGTTTAGAATTTAGGAATTCAGGGACCAGCAGTTGGCATAATGGCTATGTTGCTGGACTCCCATGTAGTCAACCATGGTTCGAATCCCAGACCCGGTGGCTTAAACTCATGCCTGGTGCGTATGCATGTGTGCCCAAGATCCCAAGAGGTGAATGGAGGAGAAGGGATTGTGGCATGGCCATCCCCCCTGGGGGGGGGGGGTAATTTCTCCCTTTCTGTCTCTTTGTCTCCCTCTGTCTTTCTGGCGAGCACCCACACCCTATAGCAAAAATCTCTCCAAAAATAAATGAATAAATAAAATAATTTAGGAATTCATTTCACATATACCATGCTTCACATCAGTTACTCTGCTTTCTTAAAGAATTAATTTTCCTGTCTAATTATGATTAAAGGCTAGTGTCAACAGAATTCTACTTCTTGTTTTTCTTCTTTAGGTTTTTGCCATAAGGCATGTGTGCTGGCTAGAGTGAGAGGGAAGAGGAGGAAATCAACTCTCGGGAGGGATGGCCACGCCAGTCCCTTTTCCTCCATTCTCCTCTTGGAATTTTGGGCATGTACACATATATCTGGTGTGATTTTCCAGCCACCAAGTCTGGGACTCAAACCGTGTTTAGCCATATGAGAATCCAGCACCTTAACCACCATGCTACCTGCTGACCCCAAATTCTAGTTCTTCATAATCACATTGTTACAACTTACTGAAATCACATACATCACTAAAATAACTTAATGATATGAAACCAAGGTACAAAAGTAATGCACAAGACATTCTAGAGGCAAAACCAAATAGAGAAACAAAAGATAAAGATTAATTACTTAACTTTATTGTTTATAAAGCATCCCTTTGACTAAAGTTCTCGTTTCCTAACTCAACTTCAAATTCCATAAGTATCCATAAAAATTCTGTTATAGGACCATTACAAACTTAAGGACTTACCCAAGATAATCTAGTGATAAGAAAGGTCAAAATGTATTCTTACTTGACAATTACTTTATAACAATTTTGTATTCTAAAAATATTATAAATGTTATATTGGTTAAAAATTATCATCTGAACTTGGTCTCACAATTAGAAAATTGAAGAAAATGTGGTGGGCATACATATTAATCTTTTACATTTACATATATTATGTAATTTTAATAATATACATATATGTGATATGTCATATCTGTAATAATATATACTTATACACATCTATTTATAAGTTATATGTATTTGCAACATCTATATTGCAATGATTATTTGTCTTTGAGTATCAGTTAATAACATGAATATGAAGCAAATAATGACACTCAAAACAGCAAGGACATACTCAAGGGAAATTCTCAACCTGGAAAAATGGAGAGAAGAAGGGAAGAAAAAACAGTGAAAATATTCTAAAGATCTCATTTTACCAGGAAGAAAATGAAGTGTCTTAGTGAGAGAAACTGTAACTGAAAGTGGGAAATAATAGTACCTTGTTTTCACATAGCATAAAGAACTATGTTTGTATCATAGTTCAGGGAGATGGAAGTTAAATGCTAATGAACTGAAAAAATAAACAACCAGATTTATATGGGAAATGAAGAAATATTAACTAGATCAAATCAACAACAAAACAGGGAGAAGAAGAAAAGGCAATGAAAAAGTAAATATCATAAGGTAAAGTGGAAAGAAACATTCAAGTAAATCAGTCATTATACAATCTAAATTCTTCCAGTAAGAGAGACCATATAATTGACCTCTAAAAAGCTATATTCTATATTTATTTACAAAAAGTATATAACACACTGAGATAAAGGAAGTTTGAAAGTAAAAGAGAAACTAAATAATAAACCCCGATTAAAAAAATCAAAGATAAGATATTAATACCTGGGATGTTATAATGTAGTATTTACAGTAGATAACAAAGAACTATTGTAGTTTATATATTTTTAAGTGGTCAGACTCAGAAAAAAATAGAAAAGGACAGAAATGAGGATGAGGCAAGAGCACAATGCTAACAAGATCAGATCCACTTGGGAAAGGGCCCGAGATATGAACCCAGACCTCCCTCAGCACAAGGGTCCGTGATAGGGGCCACGACTGCAAAGCACAGTGAGAGAAGAACTCTGGTGCAAATAGCTCTAACACATTCTCGCTCTCCTTTTATCTCTCTCACTCGCATATGAATAAACTTTTTTTAAACAAAAGAACAAAAACAAATTGAAGAACATAATTAATAAACTAGATAAATTAAGTATGTGTGTGTGTGTGTGTATGATATATGTGTACTAATATTTTGAAATATATATAGATGAAAACTTACATTCCTAAAATAACTGAATATTCATTTTTCCATATGTCCTTGAAATATTTTTAAAATTATTTAATTGTAATAAAAAAGAAATGAATTTTTTTAGAGGTTTTTGCTATAGGGTGCGTGTGCTTGCCAGACAGACAGAGAGAGACAGAGAGACAGAAAGCGAGAAATCACCCCCAGGGGAGATGGCCGCACCACAATCCCTTCTCCTCCCTTCTCCTCATGGGATCTTGGGCATGTACACACACGCACCTGGCGTGAGTTTAAGCCACCGGGTCTGGGACTCGAACTGCAGTTAACTATGTGGGAGTCCAGCAACATAGCCATTACACCAACTGCTGGTCCCCCAAATTAGTGAATTTTTAACATCAGATTTTTACACAGCATATTCTTTGATTACAGCAATACAATCAGAATTTATTTTAAATGACCAAATACTTCATATCTAAAAATTTTTTAAACACAATTCTAAATAAACATTGGAATGGAAAGAAAAATCAAAATTTTTACCATAGAAACTTAGAAAAACAAGGAGAGTAAAATAAACCCTAAGCCAGCAGCAGAAGAAAATAATAGACGTAATGGCAGAGATCAATAAAATTAAAACAGAAACACAATATAGAAACTTAGTGAAATCAATTAGTTCTTTGACATCATTAAAATTGATAAAACACAAGAAATAGAGAGGGGGAGGGAAACAGGGA